CTCATCTCTGCTTTTGTTATAGGATAGGTATATGGGCACCCCAGAACCCCCAAACTTGCCTGCTCAAAATAGGCTTTGCCATCTGACAGATCTAAATGAAAGATATAGCCCTTTAATGAAAAGGAACTTTATTAAAATGAGTGTGTAATATGGAAAAGACAAATAATAGAGTTTTCAAATCAAGCCCCTGAAGTTACCTCTTCCCTTGTTGGTACATGTCCACTCAAACAAGCAAGGTCCGAAAGCCCGCCACAAGTCTAAAGCACCTTTCGGTGGAAACCCGTGGAAAAGCATCAAAAACATCCAGAAAAGTCTGGGAGAAAATAAACAAAATTAAACCAAGTTAAAAGCTGCCATTGTTAACCTCCCCACAGGTCTCTCATCCACTGTTTGAGTCAGTCCAGGATCAAAAACCCAAGTGCAATTTCTTCACGTCTCTGCTTCACGTGGCTCCTCCAGGTCTCCTTCTTGCCTCCATCCTGCTTCCTTCCGACTAGAGCTTCTGCTCCAGCTTCTCCTCTTCCCCACTAAACTCCCACCTCCTTTAATTGAGGCAGGGAATCTGAAACCTTCCTTTTTCCTGGGGACCACTCTGTTGCACTTTTACAGGTTTACTCTTTTTTTTTTTTAAGCTGTGTTTATTTATGCATATAAGAACTGGGGTACATGCCAGAGTTGTGGGGGGTAAAAGGATTCACTAGAACACAGTGGGGAGCAGAACAGACAGATGGACTGAATAAACTGCTGAGGAGAGCTGTAAGGGAGACAAGCAAGCTCTGCTGTGCCATGTGGGTCACCTCCCTGGCTAGGGAACAGACCCATGCTTCAGTGTCTGAGGACAGCTTCATAGTCTGCTGTCCAACTTGCACCCCTTGCACCATCAGGTAGGCCCTACAGGCTTACTCCTTAAACCTTGTCTTTGAGGGACACCCAGGGAAAGTTGAAGATCTCAGATTTCTTGAAAGACAGGGAGAAATGATAGATCTCTAGGGACTAAACAAAATATAACAGATGCTGTAGGACCTAAGTTTTGAGCAGTGATGCATATTGTCTCTACCCTTCCAATAATAAAAGGAAGATTTCTGAACCACCCATGTAGCGACTGCATTTGTTGGCATGTCTCATGGGAGCTCAGAGTTCAGAAATCAAGAAAATGAAACAGGTGGTTGAGATTTTACTTTTACAGTACCTAATGTTCATACCATTCTGAACACAGATGCAAACAAAACTTGAGGTTTTACATGACTACTAGGTCATGGCCAAATGCAAGAAACATGTAACATTGAAGAATTAAATCTATGGACCATTGGATAAGAAAAGAGGTTCAAATGAGATTATGTTTGACTTTGGCTCTCAAGGAAATAGTGATCTCTCCATTGTTGATATTAGTGCAGCAAGGAAAAAATAATATTTTCAGAGTATTTATGATGAATATTTGTTACCTCGTTAAGCTCTCACCATCCATTCCAGGGACCATAAGCAATGATGGATATAACCACTAGCTTATGTTCAGGACTACTCAAAGGACAATGTTTCTGTTGATTGTGAGTCTTAGAGGTCAAACTTTGGGTTGTGCAGACTCTAAAGAGGAAGTGAAAAAGGATATGCTTACTTAACATATTTCCAAAAGAAGGAAAATGTGAAGAAGGCTGAGAAATCTTGCACCTAATTGCCTTGATTACAGTTTTCTTTGCAGAAGATTATATCAGTGAATGTAGATATAAAAGACATGATTTTCCTCATGTAAAATCTTGCTTCAGAAAGGAGAGTTGGACCTGAATGAGACCGATGCCTTGATTAGCAGTAAATGCTATGCTTTTCTAAAGTATCACCAGCTGAAACATGGCCATAAGTTTTTAGTTTCATTTGTTGGACTTCAGATTTTTCGTAGGTTGGATCCTGGCCTATTGCTTTGTCTATATTTATGTGTATTGTTGCTAAGAAATAGATATTGATACTTTGCTATAAACTAAACTTGAACATATATTCAGATTTCATTAGTCCATCCTCTAATTTCCCTTTTCTATTCCAAAATTCAAATTGAGGATTCCATGCTGCATTTATCCGTCATGTCTCATTAGCCATCTGTGGCCAATGGTGATTTCTCAGATTTTATTGTTTCTGATGAATTTGGCGTTTTTGAGTTCTGATCAGGTAGGTTATGTCTCACTTTGGATACATCTGATACCTTTCTCATTATCATAGAGGTATTTTGGAATTTGGAGCAAGAATCACCACAGAGATAAAATGCCTCTCTCATAACATACAGCAGCAGACATGTGGCATCAGACTAATAACAGTAACGTTAAACTCAGTCACTTGGTTAAAGCACTGTTTGCCAGACCCCCTCTCCTTCTATTTTCTTTGTCTGCATTTTTTTCATTCCATATTCTATGTTTTGGGATGAAATCATTAAGTTCTGCCCATATTCAAGGTTTAAGGTTAAACTCTCCCTCGTAAAGGTGTGATCTCTAACTATATACTAGCTGTCTAAGTTAATATATATGTATGTATTCTACCATATTAGTTTCCTACTGATTCATAACAAAATTACACTGATTAGGTGAACTTTAACAAGAGAAATTAATGTTCTCACAGTTCTGGAGAGTGAAGTCCCAGCTGCAGGGTCATTTGAGTCTGGGTAAGTAAAACAGAATAGGGAAGCTGTTGAAAAACAGGCATGTCTGCCTCAGGAAGGAATACAAACAAAGCAAACCTACCACAGAGGACCCAGGATTAAAATTCAACCATTCATTGCTTTCATCTGATTTGCATGTTATTATACCAATAGAATTGAAAGACTTTTATCTTAATTTGCATAGTGGGCCACAAATCAAAGCTTGGTTGACTTCTAACCTTAATTTACATAGATGATCAGAGAGAAGAGTATCCCACTTTTTCTATGCAAGTACAAGCTTGATCTCAGTCAGCTCAGAACACCATAGGCTACTTTGGGATACATTTCTACAAGTTGCCTTTCCAGGTGATATAAGTATATATTTAAGTTTAAAATAAACTGGAATGTTTTTCAGAGTGGGCGGACTGTTCTGCATGTAACCAAAAATGTATGTGAATGTTAGTTGGTTAGCATTTTTGCCAGCATGTAGTATTTTTTTTTCATATTAGTATTTTAACAAATGTGGACTGGTATTCCATTAATTTACATTAAGACAATGCTTTTACTGGATTAGGGTTGGTCCTATATTCAGTTAATTCATGTTCTTACAAGAATGGAGAGATATGGAGACATGCCATGTGAAGAATGAGGCAAAGAGCGAATCCATGCTGCCTTGTCAGGTTCCCCAGATACTGAAAGGGAAACAAAAGATTATTCTCTAAAGCTCTCAGAGTAGACACAGTCCTGCCAAAACCTTGAGTCTGTACTTATTGTGGCTAGAACTAAGTAAATAAATAAATACTTAACTGTGGGGCTTTATTATAGCAGTTTTAGGAAACAAATATGGAGGAATTTCAAGTATGTTGCTAACTGCAGGGTTTTTTTTTTTTCTGATTTTTTTTTAAAGATTTATTTATTGATGCACACAAAAATTGTGTGCCAGAGGTGCAGGGGTTCAGAGGATTCACCAGAGCCTAGTGGGGAGCAGAACAGGTAAATCTACTGAAACACACTGCTGAAGGGAACAAGTGGGGAGACAGGAGAGGTATGCTGTGCCATGTGGGTCAGCTCCCTGGCCAAGGACTGAACTCTTGGCTGCAGAGGCTTCATAGTGCTGTGCTTTAACCCTTGCACTACCAGGGAAGGCCTTTTCTGATAGGAAGGATTTTTTTTTCTATTCATGTTGAGCAGTGCTTTATTATTATTATTATTGCTACTACTAATAATAATCAGTGGGTGGATAAATCTATCAGATGTTTTACTGCCTCCATTAAGATAGCTATGCCAGTTTTCTCTTAATATGGTAATTATATTTTCCATATATTGAACAAGTCTTATGTTCTAGGTTCATGTATATTTCCCTATAGTGCATTATTATATGTAAATATGTTGGGTTATTATACATTATTATATGTATATATTGTTACTAATTTTTTGAAACATTAGTTCAAAACAATATATATCATTTATGTGATGGCTAGTTTTGTTCTTATAAATGAGTTAGAGATCTAATTTTTAGGGATGTCACCAAGATGCTGACGGAGGAAGGTTACTCCTGAGAGGAATGCCTAACAGTTGCCTTGCACGGAGAGAGGCCACAATTGGGATGAAGCTGAAGTGTCCCTTGAACAGGAGAGTGTTGCAGACTCCACAAAGGGACACAGAGGAGATTCATGCTTCACTGAGCGAGAAGTGGGTGAGAGACACCTGGAGAGGGCTGGCCCAGGCCACAGGCAGCAGGGACCAGCCAGGGACTCTGGGGAAGAGGGAACAGAAACTGACACTCACTCTTGGGAAAAAAAGAGAAACCCCTGGGGAGGAACTGAGTTTCCCACATAGGTTGGGTCTCTGCTAAGAAAAGATTGCCGTCTCTTCCCCCACTCCTTGGGGCTAGTGTTGACCTCACAAAGCTTATTGGAAACATACAGACTGCAGCCAGAGATCTGGAGCCCTAAAAAGACCGGGTAGAAGTGGTACCACAAACCCAAGCGCAGCAGCGGCCACCAGGAGCAGGGGTCCCCACCCCCATACCCGGCTGATTGAGCAAGTGCAAGGTCAGGACCTACGGAAGCCAGCCAAGGCCATAACACTAGATGAGCTCCAACCACAGCACCGTTGGAGAGAATATGACGCTTTAACTCCTTAGTTACTGTCACAGATACTAAAACAGAAGCAAACAGGAACTGAAGTGTGTCTGCCTCAAGACCAGCAGAGTCAGCCCCCTCGTCCTGGGGACGCAACTCCTGTTCAGGACCCCTGAGGACCGCGGAGCTCTATGGCGTCCCCTGGCCTGGAGGACCGCAGACGGGGAGAGGAAGCACAGGGTGCTAAAGGCCCAGCTTCAGGGGAAGCCAGAGTGCACTTCCGCGTGATCCGGTTCCTCATGGAGGCGGGGGTCAAGCTGGGGATGCGCTCCATTCCCATTGCCACGGCCTGCACCATTTACCACAAGTTCTTCCGTGAGGCACACCTGGACACCTATGACCCCTACCTGGTCGCCATGGCTTCCCTTTACTTGGCTGGCAAAGTGGAAGAGCAGCACCTGCGCATTCGAGACATCATAAATGTGGCCCACAGGTACTTCTACCCCGGCAGCAAGCCTTTGCAGCTGGATTCCAGCTTCTGGGAGCTTCGGGACAGCATTGTTAAGTGTGAGCTACTGGTGCTAAGAGTTCTGCACTTCCAAGTGTCCTTCGAGCACCCACACAAATATCTACTCCACTACCTGATTTCCCTCAAGAACTGGCTGAATCGGTACAGCTGGCAGCGGACCCCCATTTCTGTCACTGCCTGGGCACTGCTACGGGACAGCTACCATGGGGGGCTGTGCCTCCACTTTCGAGCTCAGCATATCGCCGTGGCCGTGCTCCAGCTGACCCTGTGGGCTTATGGGATAGAGGTGCCTGCTGAGGAGAATGCGGGGCAGTCGTGGTGGCAGGTGTTTAGTGAGGACCTCACCAAGCCAATCCTCGATAGCATTGTGTCTGATCTCATTCAGATTTATACCATGGACACGGAGCTCCCCGAAGGCTCTGGCCCAGGTCTGCCTAAAGAAGAGGGAACACCCAGTCCCCAGGGAATCAATTGGGAGGTTTGACTGTGTTGCTGGAAACTGATTCTGCAGAGGAAAGCATACTGCAGTTTCGAGTCTCAGGCTTGCCCAGTCAGACACAAATGGCCAGCGGAGCCTGCCTTCCACGTGGGACTGATCTGAACCACCCGATTCTGCTTTGCCTCTTTGAGCAACTGTGTCTAGAGTTGAAATGTGGCATCTCTGCAAGGAGCATCAAAAAACAGACTGCAACACTGGTTTTTTGCTTGTTTGTTTTTAAGACAAATTTGTACAGAGTATGAAATGCACAACATACAGTGAAATATATTTTGTGTAACAAAAAATTGAATGGTAAAATGGAGGGATTTTGAGTAGCAAAATGAAAAAGCAAATACAGCATATAGCTGCTTTACGGTGGTAGAATGTAATACTCATATTAATGTCTGTGGGGCCCTGGTGGTGGGTGTATGTGGTAACATCCAATGGAGATGGTGTGATATTCTGGCCCTGAATCACCATATGGTGTTACAGATGAATATAACCTCAGATTAAAATATATATATATATATATATATATATATATATATATATATATATGCACACACACTATGAGGCAGAGAAGGAAAATAAATTGATACCGCTGCATAAAAGAGTTAGTTTAGTTATAAAGAGAAATATGAATATAAAAATTGGTGAAAGAAGGAGCAGCCTAATTAAATTAGTTATTTCTATAGAACACCAAAGCAGGAAAATACGATATGACAATAAAAACTGTGATTTAAGAAATTCATTTTAAGATTAAATACACACACACACACAAACATGTATCAGGTGGTAAAGGAAAATCTAATAATTCATGTGAATTCACATTCATATTTCCTGGTTTAATCCCTAGGAATACTGGAAAACAAGAACCACTGTTAGTATCTAGACTGAGGTGTTCTAATACTATTTCCCATTGAAAGAAATAATTTGATGATGTAGGCTTTTAGTTTAGATGTAGACCAGCAAAAGATAGAAAATATTTAGCATCAGTGAAGATAAAAAGTGCAGTAGCTCAAACTGCATCGAATATATTTAAACTGGAACACAAAATAGTGCTTAAAAAATACTAAGTTTTGGGGTGGTGTAACTCTGATAAGAGTATTTGACTACAAAAACAATCTGTGTTTCCCTTTTGAGGATCTGGAATGTCAACCATTTTGACAGTTGTTATATATGGGGGAAATGTTAGAATTCTGATTTTCTGTATTAACAATGTCACTAGATAACTAACACATTGATAAAAATAAAATATTTTCTGAAGTTCTTTTCTAATTCTGTGAAGAAGAAATCTGAGCATTAAGGCAAATCCATTTTCAACCCTCAATGAATGAATTGAAAATCTTTGAGTGCTAATATCACAACAAGATGAAAAATCAAATACTATATTCTTCCTAATTGAAGTAAACATATTGTCTATGAAGAAGTAATCTTGTGAAAATATTGACCCTAAGTATCATTACACAGAGTGATCCAATTAACAATTAACAAAAATGATGAATGAGAGAGAAGCATATTGAACTATAACATAATGATCCAGTCAGCAAAAGAAGGTCTGTGGGAAACTACAGAGAAAATGATACAGTTTCTTAGCTAATTAGCTTGCAGCTTTAAAAGTAAAAGACATCAAGGGGTACACGTGGATATTAAAATAATTAGACAGAGACAAGGTTATCAGTGGAATGATAAAGTAAAAGAAACAAACAACAACAACAAAAAAACTACCATAAAACCCATATTAAGATTGGGAGGGCATAGTATAGAGTTGACAATTTATGCTTTCTGAAGCAAGTTATTACAAGTTATTACAAGTTATTACAAGTGTTGTGGTTATCTTTTCATAATTTATAAAGTTTTAAACACTTAAATATAAAAATGTTCAAAATAGGGCTCTCCTTGGTGGCGCAATGGGTTAAAACAATGCATTATGAAGTTCTCCAAAGCTACTGCAGCTCGAGTTCGATCCCCCGCCAGGGAGCTGACCCACATGGCGCGGCAGACCTCTCCTGACCCGCCCGCTGCTCCACTCAGCAGTGTATTTTGTCAGTCTGCCTGTTCTGCTCCCCACTCTGCCTCTGGTCTGTACTCTAGTTCTGTAAGGATAAATAAATAAATCTTTTAAAAAATATAATCAAAATAATATTTAGGAAGGAGTTTTGGAAATGTTATGGTAACCATAGTTAGCAGATTATTTTTTTCCTTGTAGAAATGTCAGAGCCTTAATATTTCTGATGCTTTGAATGGTCAAGAGAGCGATTTAGCTTGCAGCATTTACCAGTCAAATTTGTGCAAGAACCCCCTTTTTTTCTCAAAATATATAGTAACACTCTTTAAGAACCTCATATTGTATCAGTCACATCTGAAAAAAAAATGTATAAAATGACTCTATCCTAACTGTAATAGCACAATGTATATATTTCACTAAAATATCAATTTTGACATAACTGCTCAACTTACTAAGAAGTCTTCAGTATGTGCAATTTTGTAAATTTTAACCAATATTCACCGATGAGATTTTTTTTGTAAGTGGCAACTCTTTCAGTTCTTACCTTGTTGAATTTATTCTGAAATAACAATGTTGATTTTTCTGGCGTTTCCCATTGCTTTAGTGATTGTTAAAATCATGAATATCTTTTCAATACAAATACCAAACCTAAGATTAAATGTGACAATACAAGATTAAAGGATATGAAATATAAATCTTACAACTATAGTAATTTTATAAAATTGCTCTGTTATATACCATTATATAACTAAAAGAGCTCACTGAATGGGATAGTACATCCCCCTGTTAACAGTACTTTCCCCAGCTATGAGGAATTCACCTTGACCTTCCAAAATAAGATCAAATGTTCTGACTTCATAATGATCAGATATGATCTTTTCCTTTGGAACTCTTGAGGATTCATATTCAATTGATATCAAATAAGTGTAGAAGGCAACATATTCCAGGAAGATGCAGACAATAAATTACTTCCTGTATAATAAAATAAAAAATGAACTCTTAATACTTTAATCTTCACAGTCTTTTAGCAACTCAACTTGTGAGGTCACCCTATGTGACTGGATGAATTAATAAAGAAGTCCTTTGGGCACTTTAGTAACCAGATTCTTAATGTCAAAATTTAACATTCCACAGGTCATGGAAGGCTTCCTGCACTTTATACACTTGATACGAGCACTGGAGGTAGATAAATATGATCAATTCAGTAAATTTCTTTTTCTTTCTTCAAAGATTAATATTCAGTTGACTGTTAAAAATGGAACTAAAACAAGAATAAAGTCTCCATAAATCTTTTTTTAAATAAATATGTTTATATACTAATCATATACCTACCAACTTTATTAGTTTTCTAGGAATTCTAAACAATGGGAATTTATTTTCTCACAGCTGTGGAAGAGCCCAAGTCATTAGCCGGTGTGGTTGTCATGAGCTGTTCTCCTTGACTGGCGGATGGCGCCTTCTCCCTGTGTCCTTCCAAGACTCCTCTCTGCATTAGCCCCTATGGTCTCTTAAGTGTTTTAAGCACATCTACTATTATTGGATTAGGGGCCCTTCTTAGAGACCTCATTAAACCTTAGCTGCCTCTTTAAAAACTCTATCTTCAAACATAGTGACATCAGGCATAAGAGCTTCAGTTTATTAATTTAGGAAGACACTTCACTCCATAACTCAAACTAAACCAACTGAATGTGTAACTCAACATGGAGCTTTTTCACAAAATTAAATATACTTAATGGTATGATATATTTACTCATTGAGCATATCTATTAATTATCTTTTAATTGCCAGGTATCTATTGTACTGATCCCTGGACAACATGGTTCCTACATTCAGAGATGCTGAATAAACAGGTGATTGACATACCCCAGAGCACTTTCCAAAGATCCAACTTCCCAACACCTCTATTTTAATTTGATGGCAACATACCTAGTCCATCATGTAATTTGCCAACCTTGACATACAATACTGGAAAACAATTCTATTAAGGACCCAGTTAATGAATGTCAAATTCATAAAAGTGAGTCTTTGAAACAGTGTAATAAAATTGGTGGTTTATTCTGTGTTCTCCCAATGATAGAAATTACTTTAACGATGAATTTTTATTCATTCAGTTAATTTTTAAAAGTAGTGTTGGAATAAAATTTGAGTATTTCTTTGTCATCTATAAATATAATGGAACCATTTGTTCCTATAATTTATCACTGTAATCAATTGTGTTGAAATAAGAAATAGTTTGCATTATTTAAATAGACCATACTTGCCGGTTAAACACTGTTCCTTCAGACACTAGTAAATTTAACTTGTTAAATAAATTTTACTTCGGGGATTAGGTACCTATATTTTCAGACAGCTCCAGAAAGTTTTAAATGTTGTGCCGGGTTTATTATGTTGTGCTTGTTTTATACTAATTGCCCACCTTTCCTCCTGGAATTCATGGATGATTAAGTGCAAGTCATATAATTTTGTTGAATATAAATCTAGTCAATTCTATACTTTTCAAGATTTGTTTTGGAAACATATTATTAAAATGACAAAAATTGGGTATCAAAAAAATCCAGAGGTAAATATGTTCATTGAAAATATTTAAAAAACAAATGTACATTTATATTGTCACAAAAACTCAGACATTTGAGTTAATATAATGTGGCAGATACTCAGAAGAACATTTATGTAGCTGCCACTAAGATTCAGTTCATTGTTTGAAGGACATCACATCCAACTGGAACTTTATTTTTTTAGAGATTTTATTTATTTTTTCATATAAGATCTGAGGTATAAACCAAAGGTGTGGGGTGTTGAGGATTCACCAGAGACAAAGTGGGGAGCAGAACAGTCAGATTGACTGAATTATTGAGGGGAGCAGCACGTGACTGGAGAGGTCTGCTGCTCTGTGCATTACCTCTTTGGCCAGGGATCAATCTTGTGTTACAGTGCCTGCCAATAGCTTCAGAATACTGAGACTTAATCCCATGCACCATGAGCGAAGCCACCCAGTTGC